CATTCTTATTTGAAACTAAGAGGAACATGTATATCTTTAAGACAGAATGAAAAGATTAGAGCTACTGTACACTGTGGACTCTCTGAAGGGTTGGATTCCAAAGAGTCCATTTTCATTTCCTAGTTTTAAATTGGAGGTAATTTAGGAGATACAAGAGTTGATATGACTCCTGTACCTGAAATAAATCCATTAAATGTAATGGAAAGCATATTGAGAAAGTTGGACATTGGATTTTTTATGATCAAATTGCTCAACGGCCACAGCTGCAAAGTCACGCACTCCCTCTCACTAGTCAGAGATGGGAGAAGGGATCAGGGGTCATATCTCTGCTTCTTGTGTAACATGTGCTACTTATTCGCCAAATGAGCAACTCCAAAGCAAGCTAAAAAGACTTCCACTTTATAGTCTTTGGTGTAGTGGTAGTTGTCATTGCGTGGCTCGTGTAAGTACTTTATCTGATTTTCCAATAGCTAAGCTGTAGGAAGCAGGTGGTTACAATCTAAAGAAAAACAAACAAAATCTCAGTATGGATTGCAGTTAGAAAGATGGGAAAAAAAAGGTGTGATGAGTTTTAAAAATGAGTTTTTGGCTAAAGTTCTCAGGATTATCCTGAGGAGACATGGGATTGCACTGACACTTTAGTAGACCAATGGGAAAATATAGAATTATGAGAGAAGGATTGCCTTTCTGTACTTTGATATGTCACTTGATACTCATACTTGGAATTATAAAACTGTTTATTAAGGCTTTTCCTCATATACTGTGAGCAGTGATCACTACTAAAACTAGCTTCTCCCATCACCAGTGAGGATGGCTTAATGTGGAGGATGAGCAGTGTGACAATAGATGAAGAAGGAATATGGAATCGTTTACTGGATACTTTCCTAGTAAAACAAGAGAGGTGGTTTCTGCCAAGAGCAGGGAAAAAACACAGAGCTCACCAAGGACTCTGGAAATTTTTAAAGTGCTGCTGGTTGGAATTCGATAGAAGATACGATGAACAAACTGATTTCAGCTTAGGTAAAACATAGCCTGACTTTGAAAACATTTTAATCTACATAAAACTTGAATGAATAACGAAAGGGAAAAAAAACTTTATATTCTTTTTTTTGCAAGGAATTGAACTATTTGCTTCCTTAAATGTTATAAACTTCCCTATAAATATAACTATTTTCTTTCTTCTCCCCATTTACATGAATAAAGTATGCTATCCTTTACCCCTGTTAATACCAAACAAGCTGAGGCCCTCAATTTTTTGTTATCCTTCTTCTCTTCTATATCTTTAACTTCTCTTCTTTATTGGCCCTTTTACAGTCAGAAGTATACATTCATAAATAAGGTATATATAATGAAATTTTTAACAATATTTACTCTGAGCTCTGTCTGTTTGGTAAAATTCTCTAACTACTAGCCAGTCATATGACATTGAGAAAATTATTTAATCTATTTGTACTTCAGTTTCCTTATCTGTTAAACATGTATATTAAGACGAAAAGTAACAAATAGCAAATGTAACAAAACAAAACACCCCTCATAGGTATGAACAACAGAATGGTGACTACCAGAGGGAAAAATGGTAGGGAGAGGGTGAAATGGTAAAAGGGGTAAAATATGTGGTAATAAATGGATTTTACCAATATTTGGAAACTAAACTTTTGGTGATGAGCATGTAATAGAGGTCACAGATATCAAATTATTATGTTGTACACCTGGAATTTTTATAATGTTATTAACCGATGTTACTTCAATAAAAAAATTAAAATATTAAATAAATCCTTGAAAAATCCTAATAGAAGAACCTTAGAATTTTGGAACAAAGCCACACCGTATTTCCCTGACTAGTCTTCTGCATTTGAGAGACAGTTTCTGTGTTTTTATTGAGCTCAGGTAGACATTGAATGAATGAGATGAAGATCACGAGGGCACCACTTAATACTTTGATGTCGAATAATAATAAGGCAGTGTAAAGGTATAACAAACCAATGAAAACAGATCTTCATGGTGATTCTGAATGAACAAAGTTTTAGATCATATCACCAATTAAAGAACCCTGAGCAGAGGAGGCACTGCCAAGGACAAAGGACAAATGTAATGTTATGGAAAAAATGTTAAATTATCATCTTCAGGCTGTTGAGTAGCTCTAGGAGTTGAGACTATAAAGGCTGTGCAAAAGTACTGTGGCTGATATTCTCTGCTGTGTTAGAGATGAGAGTTTCCTCATCTGAACAACTATAAGAATGACTGCTTAGGAAAGTCTATTCTCGCTCTTTTCCATCCCAACATTTGCTCCAGGGACTCTGGCTAGTGCCATTTGTATCACCTAAGAGTTATACCAGCTGGGTTTAAAGGGGTTCAGGCCTATAGATAATCAGAGCAGGAGGAAAGAAATCAGGTGATATCTTTCCTGCTTCTTCTCTGTTTTGGCCTCACTTCCCTGGTAGTAACTGTTGATCTATGACCCTGTGTCAGCAATGTAACTAGTTTTTCTGGGGTTTAATAATAATATTTCTCCTTGTTCTTTCCACACTGAGATTGATAATTTCTTCTGGGCACTAATCATTTCTTATTTATTCCCTTGGCTTTGCCAAAATTTCTGGGAGTAGTCGCATTCTAATGTCTCTACAATTGAATTATCTTGAGTAAACACAGTTTCCTATTGGGACAATAATCAATACGCAGATCTTAATTTCTCTTAACATAGGATTCCATCCAGACCCATGGCAGAATATATCAAAGCTATATATTATGGAAATCCAATTTCATATTTCTAGAATAGAATGCCTCTCTAAATTCCAGACTTGATCTATCTGCTTGGACTTCTAATAAGCATAAAAGTTAGTGCATAGCAAAAAGCTCTTTTTATATCTTCTGTGGCAGACTATTAATTTGTTGGCAAGAAAAGAAGATAGTAGAAGGCCAAATCAAGTCTAATTTTAACTGAATTCAAAAGGGGAGGAATATGAACAGCAGCTACTGAGGGACAGCAAATGTTCTATGCCAGAATGGCCAGTCTCAGAGTCCACGGAGGATGCCTGAGTGTACGCAGGGCATAGCCTCAGGGATGGCAGGCCACCTCTTACTGGATCTTAGTCATTTGTTGCATTCTATTTGCAGAGAACAGACTTACCTTAAAGCAAATATAAATAGCTTTCTAGGATACAATAAAACTGTAAAAGTCAAGACATGTAAGTATTAAGTACTTAAAAAATTTTTTTAACATTATATAAATAATTCTCAGTATTTGAAAATTTTTGCAGCAATCTATTGGCACTTTTAGTCACCTGGCATTCAAGAGGTAATACTTATATTTTTTCATTACAGTTATTTTAAATTGGAAAGTAGTTTATAAATATATCATAGTAAGATGTATATGAATTTCAAAATATTTAGTAAGTCCATGGAGTTCATTTTTCTTTCCTTAATATATCAAAAATGGAAAATAAAACATTAAGTAGATATGTTATTAACATGATGAGAGGGCAAACTTAGTGAAATGTTTAATATGTGTTAAAGCAATGTGTAACTGATTAAAATATGAATATTGATCTTACATTAGAGTACTTTGTTGATAAATATTTAATATACCACATCTTGGTGAAGCAGGTCTTCTACTAGCTTGTATTCTTTAATAATTAACTGATGAATTTACATTTGTAGAACATGGAGACTGGAAAAAATTGCAAAGATTTTACATTCCAAGTATATGTCTTTTCTGTAGGAAATTTCTTCATTATATAAATTTATTATTTAAATTATGAATACTAGTGATGTTTAAATATAATGAATTGACATTTAACTTTAAGGTTATCAATTGTGCTGGTCTTTAAAAATCTAATTAAAATTAGTTAAATAGTTTTGCAGTTATTCTTTAATTTATTTCTTATGAAATAACATGTTTACCTTTAAAACATTACTGACATCCTCATTTGTTGAAAAACAAAGTTATTTCATTGTTTTAGGGAAATGCTCAGAACTGTCCCTTGTACATTAAAGTCACACAAGAAATATTTGATTAAAGACAGAAACAAGCCATCATTGTTTGGTAAAATTTGTTATGGACTGAATTGTGTCCCTAACCTCTCAAATTTATATGTTGAAGCCTTAACTCCCCAATGTGACTATATTTGGAAACAAGCCCTTTAACAAGGTATTTAAGATTAAATCAGATTATGAAAGTAGGAATCTAATCCCACAGGATTTGTGTCCTTGCAAGAAAAAGAAGAGACATAAGTATCCTTTCATACCATGGGAGCACAGAGGAAAGGCCACGAGAAGACAAAGGGCAAAGGTGGCCATCTGCAAAACAGAAAGGGAGGTCTCATAAGAAACCAATCCTGCTGACATCTTGATCTTGAACTACTAGGCTCCATAATTGCAAAAAAGTAAATTTTTGTTGTTTATGCCATCGAGTTTGTGGTATCTTACTGCGATGCCTGAGTAGACTAAAGCAGCTCAATGGAAATTTTGTAAGCCTTCCAAAGCAGAATATCTCATCATCATTATTTTCAATTTTGGTCTAATCCCAGTAACTTTGGGCAAGTAGAGAGACATACTTTTATTAAAAGAGAAAATCATATTTTTCATAACAAAACTAATTTTCGAAGTTATTTTCCTGTTTCATATAATCTGTTGCAATTTATGAACTGTACTATTCTGAGCTCTCTATATCCATGGAATTCAGCTCATAATTTGTTCTCTCCAGCAATTGCCATGTCACTTAAGGATACACAATGAAAATAGTGATATCGTGAATAGAACTTTCAGAGTTCTAAACGTTCTTGTGTCAGAAAGTGGGTAAAGAGGAACATCTGAGACTAGAAAAAGGAAGAATGGGACATGCTTTTTAGTTAATGGCCTTGTGAATTCTTGGCTTTCTCTTTAGACTGAAGTTGAGAGATGGTAAATTTGAAACAGGAAAGAGGTACTGTGTTCTCATTTAACTCTTTGTGGCTAGAATGGATAGGATTATCCACTCAGGCATCAGCCAAACTTGGACGAATCTATTTCCTCTTTTCCTTCTTTCCTGTTTTACCAAATTTTTGATAAGAAAATAAACAACATTTGGTGACCAAGAATACAGCAAATGCCACACAGGCCATCAGAAATCCAATCACATCCAAAGAGTGGTACTGAATCCAGGTGAGGTCATGAACGGCTGGCCTCAGGTGCTTGGCTCCTTTGTGGCGCATGACAAACTCAATCCAGAAGACAGCTCGATCCAGAGGCTTTATAGGTTGATCATGGTGAATCTTTGATAACTTCATCACATTCTCTTTATAACTAGAAGGCAAATACAAAGAAAGAAAATAAAATTTTGTTTTTGTAAGTTATGTGATAATGTTATAAAATCAATCAAAGGACCATAGAAATTGTTATATGGACTCTGCTCTTGTATAGAATTTTAACGGATATAGGGGGAAGATTGAAAAAAAAAATGTATTCTCAACATAATGTGGTTAATTGTGGACATAGGAAAACAGAATAAACCAGTTGTTAATTGGAGCCTAATTTTTCCAAGAAGTAAGTGTGGCATTGTATGAACTATAATTTCCCAGAGATTTCTAAGAATAAGTTGGTGAATGACTCAATATTGTGGGAAAAAACGCATTAAAAGGTTCATAGGCATGATCTCTAACATTTTCTTTTATGATACACAATACAATCAATGATAATTCTTCAGAAAGCAGTAGTACTTACGAAGGATCGTTTATGACTGTTCTCAAAGCTCTGAGCAAATCTGCACTGGTCATTGTGTTCATATTCACCTCCATAGCTGCTCCTTTGGTCTTCATGTGAGCAATGTTATCATGCTGATCACCAAATATGGAAACTCCCACCACAGGAACCCCATGATAAATAGCTTCATATATCCCATTCATTCCACCATGAGTGAGAAAAGCTTTGGTTTTGGGATGACCTAGTTTGGGGATAGAATGAGAAGCAGATAACAATTTCATTATAACACATTAGCAGAATTTCAGAGACGGAAGGGGAAGATCTATGGGATAAGTCATGAAAGAAGGCAATATGTTCTACAGAAGCTGAGTACATGGGACATTGCTACCACAGAAAATTGCTATCCCAGGAAAAGGAGGCGTTAATTCCCTCTGGGTTGACTAAAACTCCTCTGAATCATAGCAAGTGTGAATCTATAAAATTAATGGTCAAATCTTTATAACTTTTAAAATTGGAGATAAAATGAGAAATATTTATAATTGTTAAATATTTGTTGATATTGTTATGTTAATGTTAGCTGTTGAAGGATGAAATAACTTGTACATCAACAACTATATAGCTTTTCTTCTTCACAGTCTTACCAAGAAGATCATTCTGGGGTATCCAATCATAAAGCCGAGTATTGGCTCCTAATGTGGCTGGTTTCTTTCCTTTGTATCTCCATAAAACCTGTGGAAGACAGTGTGTATATTTCACAAGTACAACCACAGGATAATGACATTTTCAGGTTGTAGAGTTATTTATAAATTATTCATCTACTCTACTCTAGGTGATAGTTGAAAAGGGAGTATATGGGTATATTTTGTAAACACTGAAAGAAATAGTGGAACTGTTTACAATCACCTCTTTTAAAGACCTTGTTGTAGTTACCTATTAAGTATACTATTTTTTTTTCTATTATCATTTAAAAGCTTCTGGGAGTGAGATTGTAAGTGAAGAATTAAGAAATAAAGTGGTACTAGTCTATTCAATCAGAATGCAGAAGTTAAAAATTTTATGGCCACAATTACTTCTGTATAAATTTATGTCCCTGGCCATCATAGTTTTATCTTCAAATTAGTGTTTCCAAAAATATACTGCTTTAGATTTGACCTACTTTTTTTTTTTTGTATGATTAGTTATCTTTTCATCTTCCTTTTATTCCTACCTACTTTTTTCCTCTCCAAACTTTTCTCTTTTTTTTAAAAGTAGAATGAGATTATATGTTTACTTTTATTCCATTGTATAGAATTTTATTACATTATATAGAATTTCTATATAATTTTATGGAATTTAACCAAATATAAAAATAAAAAGAGCTCTTAGATATTTCACAAATAGCAATATATAAAGAATGGAAATCTAGAATCATAGTGATAACATTAAAATTAATTGAATATTATAAATTAGAACATGCAGATTGATATAATATTAATATTTCCATGGCCTTTTAATTCTAGAAAACTCTAATTAAAAAGACTAAGTGAATCTAGGCTTCTACTTCCATGCTCAACTGTAATGAATCAAGTCCCAGTAAAATCAAAGATTTGAAGGATGTCCTTGAGCATGTTTCATCTTCGTCATTTTCGTTCTCCCTTTTCCTGGTCCTTAGAGTGATTATACTTTAGAACTATTTTGAGAGTAGTCAGAATAGGGCATAAGATTTCAAATACTAAAAAGTGAGCAACAGACTTAATGTTTTCATCTCTATCTCATTAAAAACAAATGATTCCTAAAAGCTGTGTTTCCACAGTAACAGCAAATCTCAGTAGGCAAGGCTCAAATGTGCCTAAACTCACTATTGTAATGTTTTAAAATTTTTGACTTACTGATAGTACCTTATATGTTACCTGTAAAATGAGATTTAACTTTTACCTGGAAAGATACCATCAGCCACACTCTGTCTCCAATTGGTAAACAGCTGCCCAGAAGGGTCAAAGGTTATACTAACCTTCTGTGGAATCTGGGCAAAGGCTGAGGCAAATAAATTGGCTTTATCTTCCGTGAGATTTTGGATTATTGAACCCAGAGAAAACACCACAACACCGTCTTCACCTGAGCTCTGGACAAATTCTTCCATTTTCTGTAGAGAAAAAATTCTTTGTATTACAGAGGTTCAGCATCATAGAGAATAAAATAAAGTTCATTTACACTTCTGACAAGAAGATTCAAGGGAATTGTCAGAGGCATGGTTAGACTATTTTTATCTTTGGCACCTAGAACCACCCAGTCTCCTTAGGAGGAAGTATGTGTTTCAAAACTGTGCCTTAAAAACTTAATCATTGATCAATGAATAGCCATGGAATGAGTTTTAATTTTATTAAAAATTGGGTGGTTTGCAAATTCATAAAAATATTCTTCAAAAGAAAGCCCCCAAATGGGTCTAAATTAGACATCTGATAATTGGCCATCCATATGTCTTCTTTAGAAAAATGTCTATTTAGGTCCTCTGCTCATTTCTTAATTGGATTTTTAAAAAATTATTGATTTGTGTGAGTTATTTATGTATTTTGGATATTAGCCCCTTATCAGAGATTTTGTTTAAACATCTCTTACTCTTCAAAAGAAAGCCCCCAAATGGGTCTAAATTAGACATCTGATAACTGGCCATCCATATGTCTTCTTTAGAAAAATGTCTATTTAGGTCCTCTGCTCATTTCTTAATTGGATTTTTAAAAAATTATTGATTTGTGTGAGTTATTTATGTATTTTGGATATTAGCCCCTTATCAGAGGTTTTGTTTAAACATCTCTTATTCGGTTGGTTGCCTTTTTGTTCTGTTGATTGTTTCTTCTGCTATGCAAAAGCTTTTTAGTTTGATGTGGTTTCATTCATTTATTTTTACTTTTGCTTCCCTTGCTTTTTAGGTCAAGTTCACTAAAACCCAGCTGAGACCAAGGTCTATAAGTTTAGTGCCTCTGTTTTCTTCTATGTATTTTATTGTTTCAGGTATTACATTCAAATTTTAAAACTGTTTTGAATTAGTATTTATATATGGTACAAGTTACTAGTCTAGTTTTATTCATTTTTATGCGGCTGTCCAATTTATTTCAACACCATTTAAGAGACTTTCCTTTTCTCTATTGTATAATCTTGACTCTGTGTTAAATTAGTTGCCCATATATGTGTAGGTTTAATTATGGACTCTTACTTCTGTTCTGTGTGTCTGTTTTTCTGCCAATACAAAGCTGTTTGATGACTGTAGTTTTGTAGTATAGTTTTAAGGTAGGGGGTATGTACCTCAAGCTATGTTCTTTTCTGCTCAGGATTACTTTGGTTATTTGGGGGTATTTTCTGGTTTCATACAAATTTTGGAATTTTTTGTTCTATTTCTGTGAAAAATGCCATTGAAATTGTGATAGAAATTGTATTGAATCTATATATTTCTTTAGGTAATATGGACATTTTAACAGTGTTACTCCTTCCAATCAATGAACATGATATATCTTTTCATTTCCTTTTGTCTTGTTCAATTTCTCTCAACAATGTTTTGTAGTTTCCAGTGTAAAGTTTCTTCACCACCTATGTTAATTATTCCTAAATATTTTATTTCTTTTGTTGAGATTGTACATGGGATTGTTTTCTTCATTTCCCTTTAAGATATTTTGCTGTTAGTATATACAAATGCAACAGATTTTGGTATGTTGATTTTATATCCTGCAATTTTACCTCATTTGTTTATTGTTTCTAATAGTTTTTGGATGGAGTCTTTAGGGTGTTCTATATACATAATCATGTCATCTGCAAGTAGAGATAATTTTACTTATTCATTTCCAATTTGGATGCCTTTTATTTTTTTTTTCTTGTCTGATTGCTCTGGCTAGGATTTCCAGTACTACATTGAATAACTGGCGAGAGTAAGCATCCTTGTTCCTGATCCTGATCTTCGAGAAAAAGCTTGAGTTTTTCACTGTTGAGTATGATACTAGCTGAGGCTTTTCATATATGGCCTTTATTATAATGAGGTATTCTATACTATTTTATTGTTTTTATCACAAAAGAATGTTATATCTTGTCACAAGCTTTTTCTGCATCTATTGAGATAATCGTATGATTTTTATCTTTTATTTTGTTAATGTGGTATATTATATGATTGATTTGTGTATGCTCAGTTATCTTTGCATCCCTCCTGGAATGAGCTCTTCTTGATTGTGATGTATGGTCCTTTTAATGTTTTGTTGTGTTACATTTTCTACTATATTGTTTAAGATTTTTGTATCTATGTTCATTAAAGAGATTGGCCTATAATTTTCTTCTTTTTCTTCTTCTACTTTTTTTCTTTTCTTTTTTCTTTTTCTTTTTTTTTCTTTTTTTTTTTTGTGATGTCTTGGCCTGGTGTTGGTGTCAGGGTAATTTTGGTCTCAAAATGAGTTCAGAAGCATTCCCCTCTCTTTGATTTTTTGTTAGAGGTTCAGAAGAATTTAGAATTTACCAGTGAATCCATCTGGTCCTGGGCCTTGCTCTATCGAGAGGTTTTTGATTACTGTTTTAATTTCTTTACTAGTGATGAATCTTTTTAGGTTTTACAATTCATTATAATTCAATCTAGTAAGGTTGTATGCTTTAAAAAATTGTCCTGGACATGGTTTCTTAGTGTAGCAGTTGGTATGTCTGCTTTACACGCAAAGGGTCCTGGGTTCAAGCCCCAGTGGAGCCACAGTCCATGGTCTACAGCCATGCCACCCTTAACAAGCCTGATGTCTGATCTTGGAAGCTAATCAGGGTCAGGCCTGGTTAGTACTTGGATGGGAGACTGCCTAGGAAGACCAGGTGCTGTATGCATAAATAATAATAAAATAAAAACTAAAAATTAAAAAAAGGTCCATTTTCTAGGTTATCCAATTTTGCAGCATAGAGTCTTTTATCTTATTGCCTAATCCTTTGTGTTTCTGTGGTGTCCTAGTAACTTCTTTTTCATTTCTGATTTTATTTATTTGCGTTTCTTTCTTTTTCCTTAGCGAGTCTATTTAGAGGTTTGTCAATTTTGTTTATCTTTTCAAAGACCAAGCTCTTCTTTTCTTTAACTTTTTAAAATTACTTTTTTGTTCTCTATTTCATCTATTTCCACTCTTTTATTATTTTCACTCTTCTACTGACTTTGAATTTCATTTGTTCTTTTTCTCATTTTTAAGGTAGAATTTTAGGTTATTTGGTCCTTTTCTTGTTTCTTGAGGTAGGCCTATATTGATGTAAACTTCTCCCTTAGTACCATTTGCTACATCTCCCAAATTTTGGTATAGAAATTTCATTTCTATTGATTTCTATGTATCTTTTGATCCCTTTTTAAATTTCTTTTTTTTGAACCAGTAGTTGTTTAGTAGTGTGTTGTTCAATCTTCACATATTTGTGGCTTTTCCAGATTTTTTTTTTGTAGTTTCATACGACTGTAGTCAAAATTATGCTTGCTATGATTTCAATCCTCTTTAATTCATTGAGACTAATTTCGTATTTCAACATGTGGTTTATCACTGAGAATGTTTCTAGAATACTTGAAAAAAATGCATATCTGTTGTTTTGGAATGGGAGTTTTATAAACACCAATTAAGTGCATTTGATCTAATGTTTCATTTAAGGCTATTTTCATTTAAGGATATTTTCTTATTGAGTTTCTGTCTGGATGATCTATCCATTTCTGTAACTGGCATATTCAAGTCCTCTACTGTAATTGTATTTTTGTCAATTTCTGGCTCTAGGTCTTATAATAATTGCCTATTTTGATGCTCCCAAGTTTGGTACATATAAATGGATAAGTATTATGTCTTCTTGATAAATAGTTTCCTTAATCATTATAAAATATCCATTTTTGTCTCTTGTTACCTTTTTTGTCTTGAAATCTGTTTTGTGTGATATAAGTATGGCTACACCTGCTTTTCTCTGGATACAATTTGCTTGAAGTATCCTCTTCCACCACTTAATTTTGAGCCTATGTTTGTCTTTGGAGCTGAGATGTGTCTCCTGAAGGCAATATATAGTTGGGTTTCAATTTTAAATCTATCCTGCTACTGCGTGCATTTTGATTAGTGAGTTCAGTCCATTTACATTTAGGATGATTATTGATAGATTAGGATTTACTAAAACCCTTTTATTTTTATTTGTTTATTTATTTTCTTCATGAGCCATAGCTAATGGGAATGATTTGCTTCCAGAGAGCTGTGGAGAAGACTTTGTGCCACCTAAATAAAAAATTTCTGAGAGGCTGGGTGATCCAGAAGTTGGAGCATTCACATATTTGAAAGAAATGAAATACGAGTTTGGCTCACATTTGTGGTAGAGAACATTTTATTTCTACATCAGTTCTTTTAGAAAATACATGTTTGAAGTTTCTGTTTAAATTAATCTACTTTAATCTACTAATGTGTGTGTGTGTGTGTGTGTGTGTGTGTGTATTGTTACCTTTTAGAAATATATACTGCTGGAGATAGGTAAAAATTAATATTTTAATTCTTTGTATCATAAAATTAGTATATCGTCATAGCAATTAGCATTTTATTCAACTTTGTCAACCCAAAAATTACAGACATAAATATACAGCTGTAGTGTCATGTTTAAATGAAGTACAAAATATATACGCATTATTGTTGTAAACCATGTAAATTTTTTGTTTTATTTTTTAATTAATTTTTTATTCCCATCTCCCTACCCTCTTCAGCTTTGGCAACATTAGATTCTTGTAGGAGCACCGGTCCCTGGTGCCAATAAGGTTGAGGACTGCTGTCATATAGTGTTTGTCGTTCTCTGTCTGACTTATTTCACTTTGCATAATACTATCCACGTTGTCATCAATGGCAAGATTTCAATTTTTTATTCCTGAATAATATTCCATTATATATATATAATCATCTTCTTTATCCATTCATCTATTGATGGACATCTAGGTTGCTTCCATTTTTCTATTACTGGTAATGCTGCAATGATTATAAAGGTTCAGATACCTTTTCAAATTAGTGCTTTTGTTTCCTTCAGATAGATACCCAAAAGTAGATTGCAGGTTTGTATGGAAGCTCTATTTTAATTTTTTGAAGAATCTCCATACTGTTTTCCATAGTGGCTTCGCTAATTTATAGTTCCACCAACAGTATATGAAGAGTCTTGTTTCTCCACATCCTCACCAGCACTTGTTGTTTGTTGAATTTTTGATGATAGCCATTCTGACAGGTGTGCAGCGACATCTCATTGTGGTTTAATTTTCATTTTCCTGATGATTAGTGATGTTGAGCATATTTTCATATGTCTATTGGGCATCCGTATGTCCTCTTTGGAGAAATGTCTATTCAGTTCTTCTGCCCATTTTTTGATTGGATTGTTTGTTTGGTATTGAGTTATATGAGTTCTTTATATAAATTATGGATATTAGTATTTTATCAGATGTATCATTGGCAAATATTTTTCTCATTCAATAGGTTGTCTTTTTGTCTTGTTGATGGTTTCCTTTGTTGTGCAAAAATATTTTTTGTTTTCTGGTTGCTCTGTATGTTCATTGCTCTTTTTTTTCTCCTTTGCATTTCTGTTATTTTAGTCTGCTAGTTTTCTATTTTTATCTTCTGTTTCTTATTTTTATTAAGATTTGTATTGCAGCTCTGGATTTTTGTTTTGTGGATACCATTAGGTTTGTGTAAAATGTCTCATAGATTCAATAGTCCTTTTTCTTCTGCTTGCATCTTATCTTCATTCACCGGTACATATTCAGTCCTATTCCTCTTCCCTTTCAATATTTTTATTGTCACAAATTATTGCCTTTTACTTAGTGTGTTTATTACTGCATGAAAGTAGTTGTAATTATTATTATTAATGCTTTCCACCCCTTTAACCTTTGTTATAATTATTCACTATTTAATTCTTAAGTAAATTTGTGTTGCTGCTTCTGTCTGTCATTTTATTCAGTTTGTATATTTTTGTCTTTTTGTTTTCAGTAGAATACTTACTTTCAACATGCCTTTCAATGCAGATCTTGTGGTAGTAAATTCTTTAACTTTCGTTTATCTGAGAAAACCTTTATTTCTCTATCATATCTGAAGGATAACTTTGCTGGATATGTTATTTTTGGCTAGTGGGTCATCTCTTTCAATATTTTCTTTTATATATTCCAGGCTTAGAAAATTTCTATTAAAGAATGATGATAATTGAATAGTGTTTCCTTTGTAGATTACAGTCTTTTTCCCCTGGATGCCTTGAGAATTCTTTTTTGTCATTACTTTTTGACAGTTTTAATATAATATGTCTTGGAAAAGGCTTTTTTGGTTGAGATAGTTAGGTGTTTAGTTAGCTTATTGTTTACAAATGTCTATCTCTTCCCATAGGTTTGGGAAGTTCTCATCAGTTTTTTCTCTGAATAGACTCTTTATTGCCTTCTCCCTCTCTCCTTCTTCTGGTATGTGTATTACTCTTATGTTGCTCTTTTTAATGGAGTCAGATAGTTCTCATAGAGTTCTTTCATTTTTTTTTTTTAAATTATTGATTCTCTATTTCTTCCTGTGTCATTTCTAGGTTTCTATTTTTGAGCTCTCTAATTCTCTCTTTCATCTGGTTTGCTGTTTTTCCAATACCCTCTAAAGCATTCTTCCTCTCATTTATTGAGTTCTTCAGCTCCAGAATTTCTGTTTGGTTCTTTTTTATAGTTTCAATTGCTTTGGTAAGGTATTCCTTTTGTTTATTAACTTTATTCCTGAGTTCACTGAACTGCCTTTTTGAGTTTCTTACATCTCATTGAACTTTTTCATAACCTCAATTTGAATTCTCTGTCTTTTAAGTCACAGTCTTCCATGTCTTTGAGTTTGGTTTTTGGAGACTTTTAAATCTCTTTCTGTGCTACCATGTTACCTTGGTTATTCATCTTACTGACGGATTGTTTCTTTGCCTGTGCATGTGAAGAAGTGAACTCTTTTCCTTTTTAGGTACTGTTTTGCTCTTAACAGTTCAACAGACTGACAAGCAGAGGTCTTTCTTTTGTTTTCTAATAGATGGTGCTATAGCTCATGTTTTGTTTTCTCTTAAATGCACTTAGCACCTCCAGAATCTCAGTGAGTTGATGTCGCCTTGTCGTGGGAAATGCCACACATTTCCTGAGGTGGTGGGCATCCCTTTTTTGTCTAGGTTATCTTGGTCTTGGGGCACTACTCCTGTGGTGGAATATTGCACACATGAGACTCTGGGCATGTGAGCTCTGGGTGTTGCCATTTTGTAACCGGTGGCTACCAGGGGTGCTGTGTTATCGGAGGTGTCTCTGTTTCCTCAACCGGTTTCCACCTCTACCAGATTCTGCTGCAAAGGTATGAGCATGGGGAGGTGGGATCATGATTTTTTTTAGCTTCATCTCTGTATTAGCAATGGCTGTCATAAGACGAAGGCTTTGCCTCTATGCTTGTAATAGCTGTGAGTGGCTGTACTTGTCTGCCAGAAAGATCACTGTAAGTTTGTCACGTACCCACCCCTTCAGCTTCACCAACAGATTTTGCAGTAATAGCAGTAATAGAAGCCATCTTTTCAGGAAGATATGTTGTTTTGCCTGATCCTCAGGGTTTCAGTGTGAGAGCCACAACTGACTGGTTCACCACTATAAATTTCTCCCAACTGCTTCAGCAGGCACCATGCTTGTTCTTCCCCTTTTCTCACCTAGCCTGCTCATTCCACTGCTCCCACCTTCAGATGTACTGATCTCTCAGGTATGTTTGTACATTGAGCAGAAAATCCTTTGCTAAATTATAGTTGTCCAACTTGTAAGTATAAGGAGCAATATGAAGAGGTTTTCACACTCTGCCATGATGCTTACATCAGTCTCCCTCATTGCTTTTTGATCTGTGATCCAGTGACTAGAATAATTTTTATATAACAACCATAAGCTGAGATTGGTCATACAATGCAAACTTCTTATCAATAGGTATGTTGAATTTAGAATGGGACAAATTTTCCCCTCTTACATCATTTTATCTAAGATGATTTCATGAAATCTCTTTTTTTTTTTTTTTTCTGTGTGCTGAGATTTAGACCTTGTATTACCCAAACGACTTCTAGAAAATTTTACCTGAAAATCTTACTGGCTCCTTTAAGTGAATAGTCATGAAACAGACTGTATTAATTTTTAACAAATTTTATCTCTACATGTATTCTATTTCAGTAGAAGCCATCTCTATCAAATAAGCCTACAAATGGAAATACAAGAGTCTTTCTTATTTCCTTCTTTTCCCTCAATGCTTACTTCCTCTTACCCACTAAATAGTGTGGGACTTAACCCAAAGTGTATCATGTTTATCTCTCTACCACCATAATAAATGCCCTTGTTCATAACTCCATTATGCTATGAGGATAACTGCAGCAATCTTCATAGAGATTTTCATGGCTCTAGTTTCCTGTCACTCCTATCAATGATATTTCAAGATGCACTTTAATTGTGTCATTTTCACCCTAATTTCTCAATATAATACCTGAAAGACTCACAACAGCTCCTCTGACATGGAAAATGGAAATGGAGTGGCCAAAGATGTTTAGCATCATGTCTCTATTATTAAGACCATCATCTTTAAAGAAAATTCAGGTACCATATCATAAGGTACATAAAGTCTTTCAATATTAATAGTCTTACCTTAGGTAAAGGTTTGGCAGGTTTGCAGTGCAATCCTCCAACAAATTTAAAATTAGGTAGGTATGGACGAGGAAATTCAAAATCCCAATATGTTCGAATTAGCCAAATTTCAGCCTTCCCTAGAGTCTCACATAATGTAGTGGGTCTTCCTGGAGAAAACAAAAAATAGTTGAGTGAAAGCAATCAGCCCATAAATTCAATGGGACAATTTCACCACCAGTTTGATAATAAGCTGTCAAAGGGAACATAAATTTAAGACTTTTAGAATAATGTGGCTTCTTGATGTGAAATAAAAAGGGATGTTAATAAAATAATATGGAATAAAAGTAAGAACTCCCTGAGTAATTCATACTCATGAAGACCCTGTTTGGAGGATGTGAGATACACAGGTCCATACTACGATGATCATGCACTTACTTTACTGTTGTCATAAATGATATGTTTTAAAGTGAACACATTGAAGGATTTTTATGCAGAAGAATGACTAATTGCAAAAACCAATTGCTTATATTTACAAAAAAAATAAATGTTTTGTAACAGAGAAAGTGAAAAAACTGAGATGGGAATTCTTTTCACTTTAGGATTCTAATCAAAGTCATTTTAGAGTCATCACTTTTTAATGTTTGAAATTATATCCAAGGTTATGCAGTCCAAAGTCTACAATTTGATAATAAAAAAGCTTTGCCCAAGGACCTTTTGAAATTGGTCTTTGTTTGAAATTGACAGAGATTAGATTAGAATTCTATTGATTAGCTTCTGTGTTAATGTGTTTTTGCCCTCCAAATGTCTACTTTCCTATAACTCAAATTCTGCTTTGATTACAAACCCCTACTTGATATTTTCATTAGTTATTCTTATAGTTCTCCTAATCATTTTTCTCCCTAGGTGATTCAGTTTACATGACCTTAGATTTCATTTTAGAAAGACAGTGTTTAAAGCAATTAGGAAAATTCCATATTTAAAGCAGTAATTCACAATAATGAGTATAGAGGAGATAAAAGAAAGAAGAATGAGAGTAAATTGAAGTATAGAATAGTTGTAAATAATTTTATAAGTTATATTTGAAAAGTTCCACATCAAGAATTATGGACATAAAACAGTGAAATAAAATTGACCAATATACTTTTTTCTTTTGTTATATTATTCATATAAAGTTGGATAATTCTAAAAAGGTATATAATTAATTGGTTATTGAATTTTAGCTACCAAGTAGATATCATCGTCAAATGAATCAAGTGGGATTGTTTTTAATTTTAAAGACTACTTAAAGGTTGCCTGAATGCATGGCCAGTACAACTTTTGCATAACAGAAGATGCTATTTTTTCTCCTTCTCCTTTGATATGCTTCTGTCCTCTTGTTCTCAACTTGAGTCTTTTCAGAGGTCATTACTCATAATTCTATTACATCAAAATGTGGCAGTGACCTATTATAGTTCTCAGTTACCTCTGAGGGTAGTTTTGAGCCAGGATCCTTGTACTTTTTACCTAGATCTATAGAGCCTAGCATGTAGTCTTCACTCAAGCAATGCATACTGATTATTAAGTTAATAAATAATTATAGCAAATCAATGTATTTAAGTTCAAATATGTCTAAATCAAAGAAATTTTGAAGTGGGTCCCTCTGAATATTAGTTCTGTAAAACAATTAGATATTCAGTGAATAAATTAGTGTCAGATATGATCCTTTGTTAGTTCATGTTTGTATTTCTCAAAGATAGTTGAAGTGGAAGTGTGTCTGAATTGGCCAATTCAGATCACGGCTGAGTGTATAAAATTGCAAAGTAAAGCATTTTTACACTGAAAAGACAAGGGATTAAAAATAAGTAGAACAAGAATATATCAGTGAAGTGAAAAAAAAAATCTACTCTCTTTTACTGCGTGGGACATAAAGTCTTTTAGAGTTTCCTAATTACTTTTTCAGGTTTTTGTATAGCACTCTCCCAAGAAATGTAAAGAATCATAGGAATCTTTTCCATTACCAGCCTTGATGAACTTGTCCAAATGAGACTTTCTAAAGTTTCACTTGAAGTTAATGAGAGAGATAAGAATGATGGGTATGCTGTTCCAGTAAAAAATGGCGTAAGCTTGAGGGTAACCATCATTAATTATCAAAATTGTTGGAACAGATTCAAGTGAATTAAATACAATCTCTTTGTTAATAATGATCATATTTCAGTATTACAGGTGTCAGACAAATAGGTTATCTTACTCTTAGAAGAAACATTATTCTCTCTTTACTAAGAATAGTTATAAATCTTCTAATATGAAAACTCAATGCACCAGAGTTACATATACTATATAAATAGAGCAAACTATCGTTAATATTAACAACTATTTTTGCGTTTTATATTGTTTTGGCATGAACCTAACAAGTATCAAACTATCTTATGAGAAATGGTTTCAGAACTGTAAAGAAAAGGTAACCATGGCAAGTGATTTCTTGCTCTCATTTTCACTTAGTTTTGTTTGCTGTCACTTATAGAATTTAAATGGAAGACAGATATTTTAAATTTTATTCCTTTCACTTACTTAGATTTCACTTAAATCTTTCTTGGTTTCTTTTGATAACATGTTTTAAATGAAAAGCAGAGTATCTTACCTAATACCTCACTATAAAATTGGTCCCAAAAATGAGTATCGTAATCCTGGATCCAGAAGTCAAAGAAAACTGAAAATATTGTATTTTTAACTCTTTCCAGAAAGGTCATTCGGTCTGTTAGGCCCATCATCGGAACAGGTACATAGGAAGGTGGACTTGGAATTTTCCCACAATGTTTCTCCTTTATGCCTCCTAAAGAGATTCTTAATGTGAGCACAAAAGGGACTTCTAGCAGCTCAGCAACCAGCTCTCCACAGGGCATCACAGGGTCTATAATCATTACATCATAGTTGGTTTCTTGAAGCTTCTTCACGAGTGTCTGATTGTAGACTACACTCTCACATAGGATTTTTAAATATTCAGTTATTTCAATAAAAAATTCTTTCAGTTTTATCATTGATTGCCAGAGTGTTACCTTTGGCAAGACATTAATAATTAGGTCTACAAATTTATCATTTGTTTTCTTCATTAATTCTTTGTCATATCCTGGAAGCAATACCTCGAAGTTCAGTTGGGAAGGTTTCTTGTAGTCAATGAGCCAAGTATTTGAAGGCGTCAACACTGTTACTTCATGTCCTCTCTCTGTGAGTTCCTCCAGAATGATCTTTATATTAAGCCAATGGCTCATGTCACAAGGCCACACCAGAACCTTCCCACAGAATCCACAACCAACACCACAGAGCTGCAGCAAAAGAACCACCAAAATACACTTCTCAGACACCATGGCAGCAGCTCCCTTTCACCCTGCTCTGCAGTGGTTTCAGTGTGTTTCTGCTGAGCACAGAAAAGAATGGCAATTAAGTTATGTAATAAGTTAAAAATTAATGTTTAAAGGGAAAAGTTTTTTCTTTGCAAGTTACTGAGGGAATAAAATGGAAATGTAAATATATGTGGGAGACACTCTTCCAATTTTAGCACTTAAAAATTATTCTCTAGATTGGCAACAAGGGAGATAACAAATAGGAACCTCTTAAAGTTAACATTTCACACACAGAAACACACACAGACACACTTGGCAACACCCATTCCACTCTGCTCAAAGGTGCCAGAAGGTTTAGGTGAACACACAGTCCACATCTTTTTACCTATGTAGAACAGCCAAATAATTTGCTGAAATAAGCTTGGATATCAATGGGGGAATATTCTGTTAAGAGTCACAGGGACAATACAGGGTGTTCAGAATTCTAGAGAAAAAAAAAAAAACAGAATTACTCCTTTATGGATTTATTGGGAGTAGCTTTAGTAAAGTAGATACCATATGAGGTGAGATAAACATCTTGGTAGGTAGAGTGACAAATGACAGACAGATTTCACATGAACAGAAGAATGAGAAAAGTTTAGGATATTGAGAAAGCATTCCAGTGAGTATGGATCACAGAGAAAGTTGTGGGCAGTAGTAGTTTATAGAATACAGGTAGATTGAAATAAGAGATGTTAGATAGTCTTGATAGATATACTACAGGTTTGGATTTAAACTTACAGGCAAATATATTTAATCAAATTTTAAAGAAGGGCAGTCATAAGGTCAAACATTTCCTTAGCAAATGATTCTGGCAGGTAAAACAAAGATAAGCTTACAAAAGCAAGAGTTTAAATACAAGAGTTAAAAAAGTCCAGGTAAAAAGAAGGGGAAATGAATAAATACGTGTGTTATTAATTTAAACATAGGATCATTATAGCCTGAAATATGGACTGAAAATTGTAAATGTGAGCAATATAGTTGAAATTTATGATTAGTATTTAAATCTGAGACTGAAAACAATGTATAAGAGTAAAGAAGTGTGGTTTTGTACAAATGTAAAGAAATAATTTATGCCTGAGAGACCAAAAGGCTGATAATATCATTAGTTAAAATATTATATATGAAATTAACAGCAATTTAGAAATCAATATGATCAGATTTTTTTTTTCCTGAAGTGACAGATTTAATAAGACTACTCTATGGAAATAATTTATGCTGCTTGTATATTTAGGCATATGATAATGTTTTAAGCTATGAAATAGGAGATCAGTCATCCATCTACTCATCTATCTATCTCTCTACATTAATAACTAAAGTACATTAATGTAATTAACTTACAAACACATACTCGATAAACGGTTTATACCTCCTACTATATCCAAGGTTTTTCAAGAGAGCTGTACCTCCTCATATGGGTACTCACATTGCACAAACTTTTATATTAATATATGAATTTTATGAAAAGAGAACAATTGTTTTTTTTCATTTTGCATCACTTATGTAAGATGACTTTGTGAAGAACTGTGGTTCACTGTGAGGCATGTGCCTGTGCACATGCACATGTGTGTGTTTATGTGTGAAAAATAGGAGTAGAAGAATAAATACAATATAACAGAATGGGAGATTATCTAGAGAGCCAAGAAAAATATCATATCTTATTCTGTATGTCTAATACATATTGATTTATTATCACCTATAGCAGCATTTCTCAATGGAGATTGGATTGTAACTATAACTTGCCTGGGAAAAGAAAGGATATTCAGAATCTTGAATGAAATTTCAAACATCAATACACATTTACCATGAACAGAAATCAAGAACTCTCCTGGGAACTCTACTTACTTTGCAAACTTCCTAAAGAGATTTTGCTCATATTCCTACAACTCGAGTAATATTCCATTGTATATATGTACCACAGCTTCTTTAGCCAATCATCTATCATAGGACACTTCAGTTGCTTCCATGTCCTGGCCACTGTAAATAATGCTGCTATGAACATCAGTGTGCAAATATCTTTTTGGATATGGGTTTTCAAGTTTTGGGGATAAATACTCAGTAGAGAAATTCCTGGATCATATGGTAGATCGATTCTCAGTTTTTTGAGGAACCTCCATACTGTTTTCCATAGTGGCTGTACCAATTTGCAGTCCCACCAGCAGTGTATGAGGGTTCCTTTTTCTCCACATTCTCTCCAACATTTGTTTATATCCCACATGTAAGTGATATTGTGCGATTTTCAACTATTTTTTTTTTTTGTGGAGGCTACAGCTTCACTTTGAATTGAATGAGAACTGTCAACATTAACAGCCTGTTAATGGAAAGGAGCTGAGATTCATCTGACTTAATAGTTTAAATATTTGATTCCATTCCTTTCTGGCTTGTAAGGTTTGCGCTGAGAAGTCCGAGGATAATCTAATAGGTTTTCCTTTATAAGTTACCATTCTTTTCCCTGGCTGCCCTGAGAATTCTCTTTGTCATTGATTTTTGATAACTTTAATACAATGTGTCTTGGTGAAGGCCTTTTTGGGTTGAGATAGTTGGGTGTTCTGTTGACTTCTTGAATTCCGAGTTCCAGCTCATTCCTTAGATTTGGGAAATTCTTGTCCACTATTTGTCTGAAAATACTTTCTAGTCCCTGCTTCTTTTCCTCGCCTTCGGTAATGCCCATTATTACTATGTTTCCTCTCCTGATGATTTTTACTGGCCTTAGTTCTTGTATTTCTCTTTCATTATTTTTCATTCTTTGGTTACTCTCTTCTTCTGATTTATTTCTAGATTTCTGTCTTCGATATCACTGATCCTTTCCTCCATTTGGTCGACTCTATTTCCCAAGCTTGCTATTTCACTTTTTAACTCTTTCAGTGTGTTCTTCATCTCCAGAAGTTCTATGTGGTTCTTTTTGAGGGTTTTAATATTCTTGCTCTGCTCATCTAGTTGTTTTTTCAATTTCTGAAATCGTTGATTTGTGTTGTTTTGGATCTCATTGAGTTTTTTTCAAACGTACCATCCTGAACTCTCTGTCATTTAAGTTGCATATATCTATGCCTGTAAGCTTATTTTCTGGAGATTTTTCTCTTTCTTTCTGCAGCTCAGCCTTGGTTTTAAAACCAGGGCCAGTAAAAATCAACTGTTGTTTCTCTGGTGTTCCATCTCACTTCTCTGCTTTCTGTCCTGATGACTGGGCCCTGCTGCCGGCTGCTAGAAGTTCTGGCACTTCCAAGAAGGCTGATCAGGGAAGTCGCTGGACTTTTACCCCCCTCCCTCCTCCTGCAAGGAGCTCTGGAGGCTGTGAGAGGCAGCTCTTTTAATTCTCCGAGTCCACCGCCCAACACCTGGGGTTCTGACCTGTGGTAGTTCTGATGTGCGGATCCCATGCTGAGATGTGCTGATGTGCAGTTTGGGTGTTTTTTGTTGAGTTTTAGATGTTCGGCTTATTGTTGTTTCAGGGAGAGAGATTTAAGGATGTCTCTCACTCCTCCATGTTTCTTCGCCGTATCCTCATTGACTATATTTCAAATGACTTCTAAAAATCTCCACCTAAGTATTGCTTTAGCTCCTTGAAGTGATTAAATCCAAAAGAGAACACAACACATTCATCTTAAAAAAAAAAAAAAAAAAAAGCCCTGTCCTTCCAATTATTTTCTATTTCAGTAAAAGCCACCAGCATCCAAATAAACACACCACATAGAAATGCCAGAGTCTGGTTAATTCTTTTTTACCCTCAACACTTAACTCCTTTCACTTACCAAACCTTTGTATTTACCCAAAGATGTGTCATGAAAGTGTCTTTTTCTCTACCACAATGAAAATATCTTTTTTTCTGATCTCAGTTATGCTTGTCAGGATTACTAAAGCAGTCTCCCTAGAGATCTGTAGAGTTCCACTTTTCTATGCATACAATCCATTACCTACACTTTAATCCCAATGGCATTTTATGATGCCACTTCATTCATGTCATACTTCAGCTAAAATTCTCAATGCTATGTCTATATTAGCTAACATCACTTGGAAGATCCCCTGTGATCTAGAAAATGGTTTTGGAGTTGCAAACAAAAATGCCAGTAGCGTGTCAGTGTTATTGAGTCTGTATTTTTTAAAGGAACATCAGGTGTTAAAAATAGAAGGGCTCTAAAAAGTCCACTGTAATAGATTACCTTAAGAAAAATTTTGTTAGATTTGTAGTACAATTTTCCAACAAACTAAAAAGTAGGTTAGGATGGATGAAGAATTCAACTTCTCAACAGGTTTAGATTAGCCAAATTTCCACTTTCTCCAAGTCTCACATACTGTAGCAGGTCTTCCTAAAGAAAATGAAGAAGAGTTAAGTGAATCGATTATCATATAAGTTAAATGGGGAAATTGTATGACTAACTTACTGATAAAACTATTAAGAGAAAAATAAATTTAGATCCCCTAGAATAATTATAGCTTATAGACATAAATAGAAAGTGGGCATTAAATAATAATGAAAGGCTGAGGTCACACAGTTAAACACTTTTAACTTGACAATGAAGAAGTTTTTCTGAAAACACTCAGCATAAAATTCCCAGTGATTGATGAAAAACCCATCTCACAACTTCAGTACCAATTTGTTTATACCCTTTAGATACATTGTTTTATGGGCCTCCCATTCTTCCTTGGTCACATATTTAAACAAGAAAATGTTTGCTCTTAACTTTCTTAATATCTCGAGTTAGATTATAGGTGTTCTTATTTAAGTAAATGGGCAAGAACAACATCCTAAGTGTTGAAGGGACACAAAAACCAATAAGATATTTAGTGCCTTTACCACAGGATAAATTCTTCTGAAGAATTTTTTTCTTTCTTAAGACATTTATATTAGAAATAAATATCTATACAACATGAAGTATGATATTTTACCTCTCATTTTACTAAAGCTTATACTGCTGAGTCTATTATTTTAATCAAGTTGGAGATAAAGTTACTTTCACCAATGAAAGCCCATGGAGGTACAAATTCTAAACATGCTGTGAAGTAAAGCTGACAGATATTATTAGATAATGCGAGAGAAAAAAATATAAATAGTGAGGCCAATAATTTTCACCTGAGTACCAGGAAGGACTGACTTGATTTTTAATCGAAATAGAGATGATTTCAGAAAAACTTGTTTGGAGTAAGGTAAGTGCTGAGTTTTAAATAGCGAATGTTTAAAATACATGTGTATGAAGAGATGGCAGTTGGATTTATTAGTCTGCAGTACAGAATAGATAAATCATAAGAAATGTCAATTTCATAGTCACTGGTATACAAATAATTTACATGGATGATATCATCAAAGGAGTAAGATTAAAAACATAAAGGGTCAAAAACGAAAAAGATAACTGGCCCAATTCAACCTAGTGGTACATAAACTTAAATGTGGCATGGTCCTAATACATTTGAACATTCTATGTTATTAAGTAATATGGTAAAGAAATGAACAATCATTTTGATTTTTAAAAATTGCCACAAAATAATGTATACAACTGCTTGAATGTCTTACAATTAGAAGGAAAATAAATGAAATGAAAGAACTTCACAAAAAATAATAAAAACTTCAACTGATTCTTAAGAACATATTAAAGAACAACAAAAAGGATCGAAGAAGTCATAGAGATAGAAACACATAAAGTGATCATAAAAATAAAATACGTAAGTTATCGTAGCAAACATAACTGTATAAAAATTCCCAGGTAAAAGATATAAAACATGTTAGATTATAAAAATTCAGTTATGTGCTGGTTAAAAGGGTGCACATAAACATTTGTACAGTGTATAACTTCCAAATAAGTTGATCAAAAAATTGGAAAAGCCAGCAAAACAAGCAAACAAACAAACAAAAAACCCACTCCATCAGTTACAAGGATCGAAATAAAGATGGTAAAATATAATCAGAAAAACAGAACTTCTGAAAACATTGAAAATAAAATATAGTAGTTTCCAAATAAAGAAAAGTAGACACAAAATTTGTATTTAGAAAATACACATAAACAGTTAATTTATAAAAGTCTAGTCATATTCTGACTAAAAAGACAACATGTACAACATTAGAACATATAAACATTTAAAGGAAACATGAAAACTATGTCACGTATATACTGAACACTAGAATGCAGATGTTATATTGATATTAGACAATAATTGATTTTAACTTTAAAATCATTACCAAAAATGGAAGTCAATGAAAAATAATAAAATTTTTCATTCATTGGGAGTTATATAATTTTATGTAAATAAAGTTATCACCACTTGAAAATCTATATAGCAAACATTGACAAAATTGTAAAGAGAATGGCCTGCTTTGCACATCTACAGACTCACAGCAGTGACTAATGGATTGCTCGGTTGATCAGAGACTTGGGAAGATCAGAGGGAAGATTAAAGGCAAGAAGATGTGGAGTAGAATTATGCGGATAAACCTTTTTTGAATTTGCACAGATTTTGAAGATCTTCATATTCCATGGGGGTTTCCTTCAGATCAATCAAGTGCTTCAGTCAAGTGTTAAAATAATAAAGTGTTCTGGATGAGCAGTCCTGTGTATACCACTGTCATTTTCTAGACCTTCTAGAATTTGGTTATAAAGCTCATGTACAGAGGAGCACTGGAGAATGGGATGAAAATGATGCATGAACACACAGCATGGAATTCAACTCATCAAGGCTCATCTGGCTACTTCAGCTGTTTATGTATCCAACCTGTTAATAGAAGATACTGCCCCATCTCCTTCTCAATATGACACCACTCCTTAGGCTTCTGGCCAGCCAGAAGGTAGAAGATTGCATTGGTCACCTTCTATACTAGAGGATGCATTCATTTTCTCCATAGCAGTAGTTATAATTTCTAAATAACAAATATCCTCCTACCCCCCACTCTCAGTAGTATTTTTGCTGGCATCAAAAACCATGGGCATGAGTCTTAGTAAAAATCATTGTTGCTATCAACATTGTATATGACTAGGCAACATATTTATAGCTAAGGGAACATAGCAAAGTCTAATATTCATGTAATTTGCTGATTTTACCAATTTCTCCATGAGCTAGTGAAAGCTTTTCAGGGTTTTAGCTGAGACATACCCTACATATTTCAGGTAGTCTTAAAAAATGCGTTGTATGCTTGAAATAGTGACCTGATGTATGATGCCCTTATATATTTTAGTTTGAACACATGGGTTCAGAGCTCAAGTGATTAAAAGTGGAAATGTATCCCCAAGCAAGTATACTTCACCATCTCCTTTAGACAAGTTTGTTTTTCATTATTACAACTTAGAGTCAGGCAGTTTGGAGGTTTCATTTTTCAAGAGAGGAAGGATTCCACCTGGGGATATGGCCATGATTTACTTAGATTGGAAACTGTGAGCTCTACTTGATTTTTTTTAAGATCCTCTGCTTTTGAATTGGGTTGAAGAAAGTGTTATACTCCTGGCTGTGGTGAATGATCAAAAATACAAAAGATTGTGCTTGCTTTGGCAGCACACATACAAAATACCGAAGATTAACTAGGTCACTGACTCATGATAAGTTTAGGCAAAATTATGTCTAATATCCAGCAGATTATTAGAATCCATCTTAATATTCTAATGTCCATAGAAAAGATCAAATGAAAAGCTGTGACAAATTATTCATATAGAATATATTATCATATTGATTTGGAGAGGATGAAGATTTAGATCATCTTGCCAAGTAAAGAACCCTCCATGACCAGAGGAGATGTTCCCATAAGATAAGGGGCACATGGAATGTATATGAAAAAATAAGTAAAAGTATTGAGTTCAGCCTCCTGAACATGTCTAAGTTCTGAGAATGTAAGACTTGTGCAAAGTACTCTGATTGATGGGACTTGGTTTCCACTTTTTAAGGGTGAGAGTTTCCTCATCTGAGTCATTTTATGAAGCTCTTAAGGAAAGTCCATTATCAGACTTTTTTTGCAATCCAAGTATACGCTGCAGTTACACTAATGCAGTTGGTATCACCTCGAATTTTTGCCAGGTAGCCTCTGATGATATTCAAGAAAAAGGAAGAAATCTGCACATAATCAGAGAGCAGGAGCAAGTCTTCTCTGCAATGGTGGTCAGTATCAGAAACTAAATGGATGACTGGATTAGGGTAGTACTCAGCTGACCCATGTCTCACTAGATCATTGCTGTTCACTGCATTCTAACTGCAGAGAATACACTGGGCATAGAGCAAACATAGAGTTCTCAAAACATAAGAAACTTGTAAAAGTCAAAATACATCAATATGAATCACGCTTTAAAAATATTAACATATAATAAATAAATTTTCAGCCTTCAGAAAAAAATATTTTAGAATTTATTTGCATTTTTAGTAATGGACATATTCAAGAAAAAATACTCATATGTTTCATGATACAATTATTTTTTAATTGAAAATAATTTTTAATATACCATGTGAAAATGAATAAGAATTTCAAAATTATCAGGAAGCCAGTGGACATCATTTATCTCCTCAATTGTGTAACAAATACTCATATTGATTCCTAGTTAGACATGTCATTAAATTTATAAAAGTAAAGAAAGTTCAATCTTTAATCTATTTGTTAAATTAATGCAAAGCTGATTTGAATTATGAACATTTGCCTTTAATTAATTTTTTGCACTGATAAATATTTCTTCTAACATGTTTTTGTTCAAGGAAGCCTGCTACTATCTTATGTTCTTGGCATAACAACTAATTGATGAGTTTAAATTTCTAAAAGATAAAGACTGAAAAATAATATAACAATCTTACATTACAGGTAAATATTTGTTTTTCTGACTGAAAACTAAACATTTGATTACAAATAGTGATTACAGATTATCAGTATTAGTAATTTTTATTTCTTATTTATTTAAAAAATTTTAAATTATGTTTTATTATATTTTTAGTGATTTTTTAAATATAACAAAAAGGCATTTCAAGTTACTATATTATTATCTATATTTCTTGTTATTTTCTCTCAAAATGATCTGTTTGCCTTTAACATAATGCCACATTCTTTGTCCTTGAGAAAAAAATATGACTCAATTGATCTCTTCTGTTTGAAGGCAGTATCCAGACACTTTCACTAAAGGGCACCCAAGAGCACTTGTTGACTAAAGGTGGAAAATATCCTAGTTTGATGTACTATCATAGTAATTAACCATGCGTGCTCTGAGCCTAGCAACACTGGGCTTATTTTTATTTAAAATGTAATCAATTCTATTCTTATAACATACTAATCTTCTATGATGTTTCCCTGATCTGTATGTTCTAGGGGAACATGTAAATTTTATTCTTCCATGGTCCCTACATCAATCAAATTCAGCTCACATTTTGTGTGCTCCCTGGATTTAGCATATTATCAGTCTGCATATCACTTAAAGTTGAAAATTAAGAATTTAATATTATGTATAGAATATACGTAAAATGATTAATGTCCCTGTGTCAGGAAAGTAAGAGGAAGAAGATAAAGCCACCTGAGAAAAGACAAAGGAAGAATGGGACATGCTCACTAGTTAATGGTATTGTCAAATTCTAGGCTATATCTGTAGGCTACGGTAGAGACATAGGAATTTTGAAAACAGGATGAAGATGATATGTTTTTATTAAGGTCATTGTGGCTAAACTAAACAGGACTGACCATTCAGGCCTTTACCACACTTAGAAAGATCTACTCCCTTTTTTTTTTCTTTCCTGTTTTACCAAATTTTCGACAAGAAAATAAACAACATTTTGTGACCAAAAATATAGCAGTTGCCACACAGGCCAGCAGAAACCCAATCACATCCAAAGAGTGGTACTGGAACCAGGTGAGGTTGTGTGCAGCTGGCCGAAGGTGTTTGGCTCCTTTGTGGCGCATGACAAACTCAATCCAGAAGACTGCTCGATCCAGGGGCTTGACAGGTTGATCATGGTGAATCCTTGATAATCTCATAGCATTCTCTTTATAACTGGTAGACAAAGACATAGGCAGAAATGAGAGGGTCTTTTTATTAAAGGTAAGTATGTGATACCTTTGCATAATCTATTATATGTTATGCCACCCAAAGGTCAGAGATGTGGAGAAACATTTAATCTTTGTTGTGACATGACCTTTGCTGGTTGCAAAGCATTTTAGGAGTTGTAAATGGTGTGTACGGAAGAAATATGTTTTTAACAGAATGTGGCCAAATATAAACACATAAAAAAGGAATAAGCTTAAATTTTTCAAGAAAGAATATTAATATTGTATGAAGTATGATTTCAAGGATTGTTCTAAGACCAAGACTGTAGCTAACCCATATTGTTGGAAAATATCTACTAAAAGGTCCATAAGCATGAACTCTGCTGTCTGACAGACACTGGCAACTGATAGTCAACATTGATGAGTCATATTTTTGTAGTGTCTGAGATTCCCCCATTGCATACTCTTGTGTGTTTGTGATACAAAAGACATTGTCTATATTGGTAATGTCAAAACTGGGTGAAGGTTCTAGGGTAATTTTAGAAATGACAAAGTGATGAAATTTGAGTTTTGAAGGTAAATAGAAATATCTCGCTAGAATTTGAGCACATAGATATTGTGGAAATATGGTAGTCATAAAGTTAATATCGCTAATGGTCTCTCAAACAACAATGGTTATAGGTATGTATTTGAAAGGCTAGTCATGTTTTCACTTGACATTTCTTGGTGGTTGAAACAGAATTAGCATGCTTCTCTGGATTTTTGGTAGAAATAAAATTTCCAACCTGGAGACATGAAGTTGACAGAAAGTAAGTGAGTTTTGATGAGATGTCCTAGTAGAGCAGGACATTTTTGGGATTGGGGAAAGAGAAATGTGGTCATCATTCACTAGTGAATGTGGTACAGTAGATCCAGCAGCAAGAGATAATGTGTTCTCCATATGCACAATGAGAAAGAAGAATCTTTTAATTAAATAAAAATAGTGATAGGGTCAAAACAGTAATTTCACAGGATTCTTCCTAATATGTTTTAGGCAAACTTCAGTGCTAATAGCAGTCTATTTATCCAAATAGTTCTTTTGTTCAAGTTTTCATCATTCATAAAGATTTAAAATTTGAAATACACACATATTTGATAAACTTGTATTTGTGAATCTAAATAAAAATATAGTATTCTTTCTTATAAATGAGATAGAAAAAGAACTATGCTCATATTTAAAATTATAATTCCATATTTTATTCTATACTAATGTTTTATTTCTGTTATCTTAAAATGTTATAAATGATGAAATTACTATGATTTATGTATTTAAATGTATTTTTTGTGTTTTTAATTCTTTTAAGAAATATAAAACTGGAATACAAATACATGCATATATTCAATCTACACTAGATTCTTTTGTTCCCAGATAATTTCAGAATTGACGTTAGGTTTAGAGTCAATGCTAAGGTATTTTAAAATAATGTTAAGTATTTTCTTGGAAAATTCTAAGAGTATTTATGATTCTGTGGTATGTATTATATCAACAGTTTTCAAGTCATCAATAAAATTTAATGATCATTTTATAGAATAAAGTATAGTTTTAAAAAATTACCGAATTTGCCTACTTTGATGTTTAGTAAAATGAACCAAATTATCAGCAATTAACAACCTGATAATAGTCTAATAGATTAGATATCAAGGTCATCATTTATGAGAGAAAAAAAAATCACAGTAAGTCTTACTGAATCTCCCAACTTCATGCTCAGCTCTTGAGTTAATATTTATAATATTTTGAAAATTATTACTTAAACATGTATATTAATAAAAGTCATTTGTTTGGAATGTGAGAGGGAATAGTAGAAAAGAGAGGTGACTTTTTAGCATGGACTCAAGGCAAATATTTAGTATCCTTTTCTGGAAATGAATACACTGATCCTTTTATCTAGAAAACCTTGATAGTAAGGCTTTGAACAGATAGTTTTACTCAAAATAGTTCCACTAAAAGCTGCTCAAAATTCTACCTGAGTTTACCTTTTCTCCTACCTCCTAAATTTTGGTTTTCAGTCATGTGAATGGAATGTTATAAGTAGCCTTCAGTTTGTGCCTCTGAATAAAAATAATTGTGTCAGAGCTAACTTAGAATCAATTTAAATATAATGCACCTATGCAAATTCAGAACAAGTACTGAGAGGGCAAGATGAAAAAGAAATCATGATAAAAACTTACACAATATTGAGGTAAAAACCTCAAAAATGACAGACTTAGAATATCATGAAACATAATATATAATTCAAAACAGAGTTTTGAAGTGTGATAAGAATGTGAGAGTTATAAATAAGAGTTCAACAATCGAAATATAAAACAAGCACTGTTAAAAGATATTGGTGAGCTGTTGAAATACGTTGTAAAATAGCATTGTAAATGATTAAAGAAATCAGAAACAGCAAGCAATGCTCATGTTAAAAAAGCAAATTTACTAACTTATGTACTATTTGGGGCAATTTCTGTGAATTAAGAAAATAAAAATTAATTAGAACATTTAGAAAATAATAGAGAAGGAAAACAAAATATTTTAACATAGAGAACATTGAAATCTGATGTCCCTAAAATAGAGATAAAAATGGAACTAAAAGAAATTCTTATAAATAACATACAAAAATTTTATTTTTGAAAGGAAAAGTTAAATACATTTATTTTATATCAACAATGTTGAAAGGACTCATTACAACCCAGGGAAATGTTGAAAATAATTCATAGAGATACATTATATTTTACTTTCTGAATAAAAAATAATGTTTTTTTTCCATGCTGGAAAAAATAGAACATTTAAAAAAGAAATGATAAGATGGTGCTCATAATCTATGCAGCATTTAAAGTTAGATGACCGGGGTTTGGAGAAACATGGCAGAGTGAGAGACGTCCCCAGATCTCTCCCCTTGAAACAGCAATAAGTTGAACACCTAAAACTCAACAATAAAAAAAACCACCCAAACTATACACCAGCACATCTGAGCATGGGATCTGCACATAAGAACTACCATATGTCAGAACCCCAGGAGTCAGGTAGTAGACTGGGAGAAATAAAGAAGCTGCCTATCACAGCCACCAGAGCTCCCTGTAGAAGGTGGGTGGGGGGGGGAGGAGAAAAGGTGCAGTGAGTTTCATAAACAGCTCTACCTGGGAGAGCTGTGAGCTCCATGTGGCTGGCAGCAGTGCCCAGGCATGAGGTCAGAAAGCAGAGAAGTGGGGACAGCAGAGGAGCGTGGATGGCAGAGAAATAACAGTTGATTTTTACAAGCTGCGGAAGCAAAACACAAGGCCAAGCCTCAACCCCCATCCCCCACTTCAGAGGGTACTTCCCCCCATATCCTCCGAGACCGAACACTGCGAAGTCCCAGGGGAATCTGAGCAAACATGACAAAACTGTTGCTAACATTGCCAGGGACTGAGACTGAGGGTAGCAAGTGTGATTAAACATCTATAAGAAAAAAAAAAAGGCATTATTAAGGCTTTATATAAAGCAAGGATCCAAGAGACTTAGATGCCACCTACTGGAAACTAAAAGAAAAGTGTCTTTTTTGCAACAGGCTAGAGAGGTCTTTATATAATTAGACCTAACGAGAATTTCCCAAATCTCAGGAATGAGCTGGAGCTCGGAATTCAAGAAGTCAACAGAACACCCAACTATCTCAACCCAAAAAGGCCTTCACCAAGACACATTGTATTAAAGTTATCAAAAATCAATGACAAAGAGAATTCTCAGGGCAGCCAGGGAAAAGAACGGTAACTTATAAAGGAAAACCCATTGGATTATCCTCAGACTTCTCAGCGCAAACCTTACAAGCCAGAAAGGAATAGAATCAAATATTTAAACTATTAAGTCAGATGCATCTCAGCTCCTTTCCATTAACAGGCTGTTAATGTTGACAGTTCTCATTCAATTCAAAGTGAAGCTGTAGCCTCCACAAAAAAATAGTTGAAAAAAATCACATGATATCACTTACATGTGAGACATAAACCTAAAAGCAACAAATGAACAGGACAAACAGAGACTCATGGACATGGACTATAGACTAGTGGTTATAGACATGGACTATGGACTAGTGGACCATAGG